AAATAACATTTATACAACGAGAGGAAACTGCTACCACAAAAAAGGCCACGCTATCTTGTTTTTCCTACTTTCGATGGGCCGTTTTAATTCGGGTAAAGGATAGTAAAATAAATGTCATCGTCTCGCCTATAAGGATTTTGTCTGATATTTGCGTGTATCTTCAGAACTCAGCGAAATAAGTGGTCCAATTACAAATATTAATATTACGCATTTGGGTAAATAAGTTATTTATATCCCTTTCATTCATTTGGCTGATTTAATGAAATAAAAAATGCTTATTCATCTGCGAATCTTCTTTTATACAAGCCCTATAGAGCCAAAATATACTGTATTAAAGTATATATGGAGGCTGATATAAATTATCTAACTTCTTCTTTAATAATATGAAAACCAAGCACTAGAGAACATTTTTTATTTAATTGGGAGGATAAAATATTTTCCTAGAGTTGATCCTATCACGTGTAATTATTACCTTTAATGACTCATGCTTTTCTTTAATTATGATTGTGCCTGCCATTTATGATTTCATCGTTTGGGCATTTAAATGATTTTCATTCACTCCCCCAAATTAGGCCGCGTAATACTGGACTTCGTTTAGCACTTCTCAGGATTCAAAAAGGATTTAATAAGTAAAGTACTAAACTGTTTTACTTCGCTCAGGTTAACATCAAGTAATCATAGCAATTATGAATCTCACCATCAAATAATAACTCAGCTTAATATCTACTCATTTAAAATATCTGCATTATAGTAACTTCGCTTTGGCCTTCAAGAAGTATAATATCATTTCTTTGGACAGTGGTTCAATAACCTGTCTCTCCTTCATTAGTTAAATTAAGCATGAGTAGTTTTAAATTAACTTTATGCCAGGACCTCTTAATTCATCGTAGTAACTAATATATTAATTTTTAAAGGCATTTCATCTTACTTTTAACAATAGGAGTACAATAATAAGCAAGCCTATGAGTTTGTGATTATTCTAACTTGTGTCCAATTTCTACCTTGTTTACAGCCAGTATTGACCGTTAGATCAAGTTGTCTTTAAAAGCATTTTTATGTTCCGCTAATTTTTGACCAATGATCCGACAAGTCTTTGCAATATAAGGTAAATCACACAAAAAATACATATTTGTAATGGTAGAATCCAGATAAGGAATTATATTTCTCTCCACAACCAATATTTCTTTGAAGACAAGTTTTATATAACATATTCTCACCAGTTTGCCTATCTTCTTTAGAAAAAATGTATGACGGTAAAATAAGGACATAAGAAAAGCTTTTCTATCTTAGGCCAAATTGTCTCTGTCTGAAAATGTATTCCTTAGTTATGAGATATTTTTATCAATCAAGTCCAAAGGATAATTATTTTCCAAGATAAATTATTTCAGCCGGAAAATCGTTTTCAAAGATATTTTAATATTTCTTTGGTTGTCCTATTCTATAGGCAAATATGATCCAATATCAAGGGGTTTTTATATATCCTCCATTCGAAAGAATTCTGTCTGATAGAAACTCCGGAAAATCATTTTAAAAAATAAAAGCAATCACAGATAATATTGACTTTTGGATTTATACCACTGTTTTATTAGTTAATACGCATACAATCAGACTTAATCAAAAGGTAATTTTTCATGAGGTCAATATAAACGTGCTGTTGCTGGAATACTCATCAGACTTAGACAAAAAATAAAATGTCATTTTTATATCAATTTAAATTTTAAAATAATTATATAATTAAATCAAACTTATTTGTAATGTTTATTACTGTATCATATCAATCTGCTTGCTAAACTTTATTTGTTTGTACCGACTCGTATTGCATGCGCTATCTGGCGTTATTTCGTATGGCCTTATGTGCTTTCCTCTCCTAGCCTTCGATGATCTCGTCTAGGCGGTTATCGCGAGCAAATTACTAGTCTCATATATAATGTCTAATTTATCCTTACATCGAAATTCATTCAGTGTTGATCCTTCTATTACTCCATCATGTGGTCCTATTTCGGAAATAGCTGAGTCGATTTATAGTATTAAACAGGAAAAGATGCCTCCACCTGTCCCTAATGAATCTGGCCACCATACTATTGTTAGTGCTTTTGGTTCATGTGATAAGGCATTTGGTCTCCTATGCTTTAGTGCCTCAAATGATCAAACCAATTTTCACATGTCAGATACAGACCCTGACAGTTCTAAGCAGGATTCACCTGGGAACTCTGATACGATTACTTCAGGACTATCATCTCTTCAAAGCTGCAAAAGTCGTCCATTGTCTCGTGGATTATCTTCTCAGCCTTTCGAGGAAAATTCATCCTCAGGACCTATTGACATTACTGACAGGACGGAGCTATTCGTGACACGTTCCCTCAACGATTCTTTATCTTCTCCAATAAGCAACCAATGTGCGGTTATTACCTGTGCCGGGGCCGATTTACCTACTTGTGACAAATGTGGAAAACGCTATCAGACTATGATATCCTTGCGGTCTCACTTACGGAAACACTCTAGTGGAGAGCTCGCGGCTAAACGTCATAAATGCCTTTATTGTGCATACTCAAGTCACTATCAAAGAAATTTGACGAAGCACATAGCACTCATTCATTTGGCTAGTAATGCCAGCATGCCAGCTAGCAGCACCATGTCTGAACCCAGTCCAACTCTGTGTCCTATCAAAGCCGATTACTCTCAAATCTCTGAGGCACCTGATTTAATCAATCAGGCAGAAGTAATGCCCCGAAATGGCGAATTGCTTTGCGGGGGCCCTAGTTTGGCCCCATTGATCGACCCAGCTATCAATAGGATGAGTTCATCTGAATCTGAAACTAAAGATTATTGTGTAGCGTCTTCTATAAATATCAGGGGTATCAATGACACAAGCACTGATGGCTCGGATGCGTATGAATGTAACCTCTGTGGAAAAAAATTCAAAACGAAACAAAAGCTAGTCCATCACACTGAAGTTCACGACCCAAACAAGCCGTATCCTTGCAAAGAACCTGGTTGTGAGCGTTCATTTCGTTCTCAAAAATATTTAAGCAATCACATTAATGACCATCATGGTAGACAGCCCAAACAATACATCTGTCCAATGGAAGGCTGTAACTTTGCTGGAGCCCGCCGTAGTCACCTCAAACGACATATGAATGAGAACCACTCGGGTATGTTTCATGCAATCCCAGTTATTTTTATCTGCTTGATCTCTCTTAACCTTCGTTCTTTGTTTGATCCAGGTGAAAAGCTATTTAAGTGTTCGTTCTCTGGTTGCCAAAGGAGTTTTTGTTCTAAAGAATCCCTCACGAGCCATATGTCCCGGCATAGCTGCGATGAGCTTACGACCAATAAGGCTTACGATTCTCCAGAATTTAAAGTCTCGAATGCTTTTAATGCACAGGACCATCGTCAGCCATCATGTGGAACTCGAAGCAGTACAAGTGAACCTGATCTCAAAACACTTCTGATCTCTCATGCTTATTCTGGCCTTTCAATGGCTAGTTGCTCGGATTATAATCCTGTGTGTGGCGAGGAATCTAATTTTATGGATACAACGTTGAATAGTTCTCTAACTCATCAAACTCTCGAACATAACAATATTCACACCTCTGCAAGTATGATTATTCTTTCCTCTAATTCATTAGATGCTGCATCGTCTGGAACTGATGGAATTTCTGATAAGTTTACTCACATGGTGAATGAGTATCTAGCCTGTCCTACCACTATTCATTCTCTATACGAGTCAGAGCCACTCACCAAACATGAACTTGAACTCGCCAACAGAGCACTAAATAAGAGGGAGGCTAAGAAGCGAACCAGTAACACTAGGGCAATACTTAAGCAACGGGTAGCAATTTCGCCTGGGGCAAATCGTCTTTTGCTAAAATTGTCGAGCTGCTTGGATGATAGCCTGGATCAAAGAACTGAATTGCCAGATAATTGTCTTC